CGTACACACTATCAGAATGAACCAGACATAAAATTTGGTTTTGTCTTAATCTAATTAAGAGTAGCCATTTCAAAGAGTTAATCAGAATTTTCAATAATCTCAATTCACCAACTTTTAATTGGAATAATTTAATTTAAGCATACTCACCTGTAATTAATAGTTCATGATTATAGTTGATTGTTATTGCTAAGCATAGTGGTCATCCATAAAAAAGTTGGTATTAGAGTCATATGAGAATTATGGTGTTAACATTGAAAAACAATAAAATAAATTAACCATAAATAAATTCTAAAATATACTTTTAATTAGAAAAATAGGAGAGGACATTCAATTTTGAACCTCTCTTAAAATAAATATGGAATCTTAATAATTTAGTTCAGTTCATTTAAGTGTGAATAGATATGTCGCTTTTAAACTTTGAAAATTCTGAAAGTTCACTACTCTTATATTTGGATATAGATATAAAGATTTTGATTTTGCTCTCTAGAAATTTTGATAATGTTATCATTCAACTGTTTTCATTATTTTAAAGTAAAGGAATATTGCTTTACTGTCATATTTTAATTAATTGTGATAAACTTTAAAAAACCTAATAATTTATTTAATTTTGATATTTAAAGATAATAATCATATGCAAATGATTTAGCAACAATAAATTCAATCTATTTTTAAAAACAATTTTTTGATTTCTTTTATAATTCTAATCCAAATTTTTCAAGTTTTACATAACCAAGAAGAACATTAATCATCTATATATATGAATACTAATATTAAAATAGTTGATTACATAGGTAAGTTTTAGATATTTAGATCTCCCTAATAAATTCCTTTTAAGGCTAGAAAAAGAAACCATTATGAAGCTTAAATAAAAAGAAAATAAGCATCCTTTGATTTATATAAATTAAGACACTTATTAAAATTTTGTGAATGAAAATCTAGGGATTGAAATAAATTTTGAAATGATTGTTAATTTTGGTTACCTATTCTCTATTAAATTGGTTCCTTTGAATAGAGTACACCCAGCTTTACCTTTTTAAGGTAGCCCTATCATAGGCCTTATTTATTTCTTAAAATTTTTGAATCATATTTTGTAGAAACCTTCAGAACTATCAGAAGTAAGAAAATTAATACTGTTCAAATTGGTTTTTTATCTTAAATTGGTTGTAATTAACATATTGATCCCATTTCTCATCTCTCATTATTTAGAATATAATTCTTAGCAGTGCCTCTTCACTTTTTCCATTAAGATATTTTAGCTTTATTTTTATAGAAGAGTATCTATTATAAATAACTGGTGCATCACTTCACATTATTTGTAAAACAAATCATTAATAATTCTCTCTTTCTCTTAATTTTAGTTTGATTATAATCTAGACCAAAACATATTATAATCATCAATATGATTAATTCTTCATCATTGATCAAAAAATCTATATAAGTGACTTTACGCCCAATATATTTTAACCAAATCCATAAAATGCTATTATTTATAGCCCAAATTAAATTACAGTATTTTGAGATCGTTTTTTGATTCTTCTTTTAAAGGAACATAAAATCAATAAAAACAAGGTTTCATTTTAGAGAAAATCTGTTATGTCGGCCACTTTTCATACTCTGATCAGTCTGTTTATCCACTGATGGGAATATATTAGCATCTGATAGTAATGATTAATAAAAATCTAC